GCTGTAGACGTCAGATCGCAGCAGCGCAGGAGCCGGTGGTGGTGGTGACTGATTGTTGCACAGCAATGCCAGCAGTGTTTTGAGCGGCGCGATATACACACGCTGCAGGACGTGTCACAAACACACGTGTGCATACAAACACACATTCTCTGTCTCTCTCTCTCACACACACACACACACACACAATCACACACGCACACGCACGTGCTGCCAGCCCAACTTCTACAATAACAAAACCAGCCGCAGCTGGCGTGGCGAGACCGTCACGGCCAGCGGGGAGGTCTACGTGGAGTGCTGCTTCTGGGGCGACTGGGAAGGGTGAGCCCAGAGGGCGCCGCCGCCGCCTAGCACGCACCCGTGCGAGCGCCGGCGCCTGCGTCCCGCATCCCACGCGAGGCCGTCGCTGCCGTGGCAGCAGCTGCCCGCCAGCTTCTCTGCGAGGCCCCCCTGCCCACCAGCCAGCAGTGAGGGCCCCACGCCCTCCTCAGCCTTCAAAGCGCAATCGACAGCCCACAACAGCCCCGCCCCTCAGCACCCCTCCTCCGCACGCCCTTGCCCCTAAACCCCAATCCCACCCCCAGGCACGCCAAGAAGCTGGCCTGCCCTACCCCAGACCAATGCGCGGCGACTGCGGACTTTGCCGGCCCCGCTTGGGGCCACGTGTACGTGCGAACCTCCACCATCAATTGGTTCCTGAACACGAGTGGGAAGTACGTGGGCCTGGTCACGGTGCACTGGTATAAGGTGGGTGGGGGGGGGTGCGGGGCCGCGTGTATAAGTGTGTCCATGTGTGTATATCATGCGTGTGTGCAAGTGAATGAGTGTGTGTCAATGCGTATAGTGTGCTTGTGTCCAATGCAGGTGCAGGTGTGTGCGGATACGTTTGAGGTTTTGGAGGGCACGGGTCCCTTCCACCCTGCACATGTCATCTCAAGCAAGGGCAGGACAGGCGTTACAGCGTCTGCTTTGCACTGCTGCCTGCCGACGAAGCGTTGCGGTCCTTCCCTGCGCCGGCCGTGCCTGCCTGCCGACGCATCTGCCCGCCATGCCCCTCGCCTCTGCCCCCCAAAGGCCACCAAGGAGACGGCCAACACCGCGGCGACGCTGCTGGATGATGCGCCCATCAAGAAGGAGATGGCGAACCTCAGGGCCCTCGTGGGGGTGAGGCTGCGCTGTTGCATGTGCAAGGGACCGTGTGTGTGTGTGTGTGTGCGCGTGTGTGAGCTGGTGTGTTTGTGTTTGTGTGCGTGTGTGTGTGTGTGTGTGTGTGTGCAGGCATTTTGGTGCCTGTGCGTGTGTGAAACAGAGAGTGTGTGTGAGTGTGTGTGTGTGTGTGCGAGAGAGAGACAGAGAGAGAGAGAGAGAGAGAGAGAGAGAGAGAGAGATAGAGAGAGAGAGAGAGAGAGAGAGTGTGTGTGTGTGTGTGCACGCGCGTGCGCTCTCTGCGGTGTCCTGACAGGCGGGGGGCTGACTCAGCCGCGCTGGCAGGAGTGGCACAGGGCCCTCAGGGCTGAATTTTCCATCTCCACGTCTCCTTTAGAATCCACAACCTCTCAAGTGTGCAGCACGCACACGCTCCTGAACTTCCAGCCGCATCATGGGGCTGATGCGCTGCGCTGCGTTCATGTCTACGTCCCCGCAGGTGGCTGCCAAGTACGGCAAGCCGCTGCGCGTGGCGGAGATGAACTCGATCAGCAACAGCGGCCGCGACGGCGTCAGCAACGTCTTCGCATCCGCGCTGTGGACGCTCGACGCGGCGTTCGAGGTAGCGGCCACGGGGGCCGTCGGCATCAACCTGCACCAGGGCGCGGGCCAGAACCTGTGAGCAGTGGTCGTTTTTCAAACGTGCCGCTGCGCTGCTTGGGCCGCAGGATCTGCCGCAATCCTGATAAGAACGATGGGATTGTATGCCAGGTTCAAAATGTTTGTCACAACCCGCTCATGAAGCCAAACTTCAGAGTGTGTCTGTGGTCACGACGGCACCCCTGGCCTCCTGACTCACCCGCCCCTGCCTCATCACGCCCCCTAAAGCCTCGCCGCGACCCCGCCCCTCCTAAATCCCGCCCTCCACGGCTCAAACGCCAACGGCCGCCCCCCTCAGCCCTGAGCCCACCCAACGACCCTGTCCCTTGTCTCGCCCCCCCTGCTCGCAGGTACTCCGCCCTGATCCGTTGGTACGACAAGGCCAACAACGTGCGCCCCGTGGGCATCCGCCCCGTGTTCTACGGCATGGCGATGTTCCAGCGCGCGGTTGGCAGCCAGGCGCAGATGCTGCCGGCGGCGCTGACCGGGCAGACAGACGGCCTGAAGGTGCGGCGGGCGGGGCAGATTGAGGCAGGATGGCAGATTGAGGCAGGAGAGAGTGTCGCCTGAGAGGGGGGCAAGACAAACGGCTTGAGGAGAAGCAGCGCCGCTGGCCGCGCGCCTGAAGCGAGCTTTGCCTGCGTCGTCGGAGTTGCATGCCACACCAGCCTGCGCAGCCACCATGGACGCGACCCCCGCGGCGCGCGCCAGCTGCCGAGACGGGAGAGGGAGCGCCTGACGCGCTGCCATGAGATCGCCTTGCCTGGCCCCTTGGGGCGCGCAACACGGACGCATCGCCCGCCCGCTCCAAATCAGAATCCCCATCTGGATGGCTCCAGAAGCGGGCAGCCGCTGGACAATGCTTCAATCCATCCTGATTCTCCCAAATGCTCAACATTGCAGGTCTGGCCGCTCTGGTCTGCCAAGGACAAGCTGCTGCGCGTCGTCGTCATCAACAAGCGGCCCTCGGACGCCCTCAACGTAACCTTGGAGGTCGACAAGGCGGGCGGCTTCGGGCCGGCGACGGTCACGCGGCTGCTGGCGCCGGGGCCCAACCCTCTTGAGGCCAAGACGGGCATCACCCTGGGGGGCGTCTACTTTGACGACAACGCAGTGAAGGCGGGCAAGCCGTCGTCGGAGCACGCGCTGAGGGTGCGGGCGGCGGACGGGAACCTCTCGTGGAACATCTACATGCCACCGGCGAGCGCCGCGCTGGTGGAGATGCTGCGGCTGTTCTGATGCGGTCTCATGTCTTATTTATAATTTTGACTTTATTCGGTTGCCTGACTTTTGCGGCCGTACGCTATCAACCTGTTGTTGCGCCCGCCACCACCAGTACCTTGTTCTGGCCTTGCATCAGATACACTGCTCTGCCCTTCCTGCAGCATGCGGCAGTGTGCCCAGTTTTTGGTTCTAGAGTCTTTAGGAGCTCAATTGAGCCACTGGCACTTGAAGCATGGACACTTTTGCGCTGTGCCGCGAGGCACGCCACCAACCTGTTTGCATGCATGATTCTTGTTTTGGCTGAACCAATTATTCACAACACAGCAGGCGCATTTGGCGCCTCCGGTAATTTGTGTCGGTTCACAATTTGTTTGGTGGTTACTCAGCAACAATCAGAGGACATTGCCTGTATGGACGCAGGTGTATGAAATGTTCAGCTGCCATTGTCGGCATGCAGGAGTGCATGGGTGGCATGGCACAACCCCCGCAGGGACATGAGGCGCTGGGACAGGGCTGGGAGAATGGAAGTGGGGAATGCACCAAACGGGGAATTCGCAACAGACAGGCGATTGCGCCTCAAGGTTCGGCGCTCGAGCTGCAGCCATGCGACAGTGAAATGACCTGAAGCGGGACTCATAAAGGATGATCTCGGCCACAAAGTTGAAGTGGTGAGTGACAGTCCTGGAGCTTGCAATCAGTTATTGCCGGTGGGCATCCATGCGCCCGCTCTGCTGCCGCACATGCAGCGCGCGGCGGCCGCCCGCCGCACCTGGGCAGGCCCACAGTGGCAGGGAGCAAATAAAACTCAACCCTGGTGCGGTCTCGGCAGTCAGACGGCGCGCCGCAACGAGCACCGACTCCAAGCGCCCTAAGAATATGCGAACATAAGAAACCCGGCTGCCAACCCCTGGGTCGACTGCGCCCGATCCATGAAAAAGCATGCGTGGGTCTCTGAGTTGGGGCAGAGGTTGTGCATCAGTACCTGGAATTGCAAGTTCTGTGTGAGCGTGTGGGAGGTCGCCTGTCCAGCCCGCAAAAGGCTGCAAACGAGCAGTCGGCGACGGATGTGTGCAGTACGCCAGTACCGGTAGAGCAATGTGGGCGTGAAATACTGGGGTCCTAATCGATGCTGTACTATGAGTCATCAGCGGATGTGCTTGTAGTCGTGCTCGATAACCTCACCGGGGCGGTCGGGGACCTGGGCCACCCTGGGGGGCGTGGCTCCTGTCATCATGTGCATTATCCCTGCGCGGGGCAACGAGAGGCGTGGTGAAGTGTGAGCTTGAAGAAATGGAGGTCCTGCATGAGGGATGGCTGGCGCCAGGCGCGCCGACCGCACCGGGACGCCCCCGGTATCCTTAAGTTTCTGCTGCAGTCGTTGGGCGCCTCACCCGCCCATCCGTCACCCATCCGTCTCACCTGCCATGCAGTTCATGGCGTACCGCCTCCACCCCATCCTGGCGGCCGGGTGCTCGTAAATCTCATCCCCCCCAACCCCACTGGCCCCAGGCCCAGCCGCTGCCGCCCACGCCTCCGGCCCGACGCCCTCGGCGCGGGGAGGGCCAAAGGTGAGGAGGTAGTCAAGGCGCTCACTGGGCTCCACGCGCGCATGCAGCTGCTGCAGCGCCGCAGAGTCAAAAAGCAGCCCGGTGTCATTCTGTTTTGGAGGGTGTGCGGCGGGTGGCGGCGAGGGGCGCGTGTCAGGGAAGGTGGAGGGGGAGCACCGTGGGGAGGGCTGGCTGGATGCTGCAGCCGGTGCAGCGTGTGGTGTGCTTCACCCTCATCATGGCACATCAAGGCCAGCGCCACGCTCTGACAGAAATGCATGTTGCTGCCATGGTTGATACTGAACAGACGTCAGATGCGCACGCGCAAGGCATCCGAATCCTGCATGCCTTGGGGTGGTTGTTGATGCACCACTGCTGGAAGCCGACCGACAGCTTCTGGGCCGCACGATGCAGACCAAACAGCCTGCTCGGGGGCGGCGCATCAACAGGGCGGGCGGGCACGGGTTAAAAAAATGGGACGGCAGGATGCTGCTGTGGCGCGGGCCCGAGCTTGACGCGCCATGAGCGTACAGGCGGGAAAGCCACGACCGAATGGCGGGCGCGGGACGACGCGGTGCGCAGCCGCCCCGCGCCGCCGTCAAGCGAGGGGCATGGAGACCGCGCAGCGTGCCGCCCTTGCTACACAGTCGCACACGCACCTGAGGAGGAGGCAGACCAGCGCCACCTTGGCCCAGTTGTAAAGCCGCCAGAACGCCACCCACCGCTGGTCCGGCTGCCAGCCGGCCGGCAGGTGCGCGAGCCAGCGCGTGCCCCCGACCAGCAGGCAGTTAGGGGAGGGGTGAGCTTTGAGGAAATCGATGCAGGAGTTGATCGCCTCGGACGCGCAGGAGGGGTACGTCGCGCCCGTCGTCGCGTGCACCACGAGCAGCGGCTCGCCGCGCCGCCGCTGCCGCTCGAGCAGCTGCTGCTGGTGCAGCTGCCGCTGCGCGGCGAGGTACGCCGCGGCGGCGGGCTCGACGGGCGTCAGGGACGCACGGATGAGCGGGAGAGGCTCGTCT